TTAAGCCCTGCTGGTCAAAAACTTAAGAAAATAATTTTCCCAAAAATATTAAATGCCTCTCCCCTGCTGGTCAAAAACTTATGAAAATAATTTTCCCAAAAATATTAAATGCCTCTCCCTCACTTTAAACTAATAAGTACTTGAAGTAGTGTTCGAAAAATCAAATCGAAAAGGTTAACCGGACATGGGTTGAAAGTGGTTTAACCGGTAAACCGGCCGATTCAACCGTTTTAACCAGGCAAGTATCAAGCGGTCAAAAAAATATTGAAAAAAGTAAAAAATGTATGCTAAAATATGAAAAACATAAAAAAAATGATTAGAACAAAGGGGCATTAAAATGAAGTTGAAAATTAATGAAAAAATGGATTTTAATGAATCAATTTGTATCTAGGGATATTTTTTAAATTTTCCAAAAAAAATAGAAAAATATAAAAAGGAATATTAATGACCAAAATAATTTTTAATATTTATCAATGTAATGAATATTAAAAAATGTATTACAAATTGATCACCAAAACAATCCGAAACTGAAACTATAAGTGATCGGTTCCGATCTAACGGGTCGGTTACCCATTAGATCGCCCGATTTTTCTAATGCTTCGAAGTCTCTAGATCTCTCTCTTTCTCTCAAAACAAAAGCAGTGCGCTTACCGGTTTGAGGGTCAAACCAAACATGATTTTTGCTTCGCAGAAGCTGCCAAACAACTCGTTTTCATGGTTCAAAATAAGGACACCGATGCTAAGAAAACCAAAGTAAAAATTCTCATTTTCATGCGTCACAAAAAAGGACAGCGAGGCCGAGATAAAAACAGAAGGGAAAAAAATGAGGGTCGATCTCGCTCACTGATCCCTTTTTTAAACCTTGTTATCAACCATTAACAAGAAATCATTATTTGTTTGATTAAAATAAGTGTTTTGATGGGGACTGTCCCAGTTCGAAGTTAGAATTGGAAATTTGTCTGGTTGGCACAAAATCGGCCGGATTCGTACCGAAAATCGGTCATCCCGTGTCAATTCTTTTGTAAAAACCGGAAATCTAACATTTGATGCGGTGGTTAGAGCGTTGCTTTGTGCGTTGGATGTCATGGGATCAATTCCTGCCCAAGTGCCATCATTCCTTCACAAACAAATTAATTTTTTCTTTTTTATAAAATATTTTTTTTTACAAAAAAATAACAGTTTTTTATAAAAAAATATATTTTTTGTTAATAAAAATATAAGGTTCTTGTAAAAAAAAAAAAAGGTAATACAATAAAAAGAATTTGTCAAAAAAAAAAAAAAATTTCTTGTTAAAAAAAAAAAAAAAAGTAATACGACAAGCATTTCTTGTAAAAAAAAATAAATAAAAATTTATTGTCATAAGAACTAAATGGTTTTTATCAAAAAAAAAAAAACGATCATAGGTAATACAATAAATATTTATTGTGAAAAAATAAGATATTAGATTTGCTATTATTTGTATAATAAAATAATTATAAAATGTAAACCAACAAGTTTAATTTCAATATATAATGCTCTCCACCAATTCGAGATTTTGGTAGCCATTTTTTATCGATTAAAACTATTCGTTATTATAGTCCATTTATGATTATATATTTTATCCGTGATAATTTTATGATTTTTCTTTTGTGTGTTGTAAATTTAATAGTCAAAATAAGTTCATACAGAGAAAAAACATCTCAATATTCACATATTGATGAAAAAATGAAAATTAATAATGTAGTACCCCGATTTCTTATTGGATTCCTAAAAAACAACATTTATAATGAATTTTAATAATTTTTTTAGATTTTTTTAAAGTTTAATCCAACCGATTCGGCCGATTCCCGATCTGGATCGTCAATTCACCGATTCGAATGGGTTTTTGGGGTGCACGATCCGGGCCACCGATCCGTTTTTTAAACCACTGGTTCTCCCTAATTTTAATTTTTATTATATTTCAGCCTTTTATTTTTCCCAATTAAAAATTTATTATTTAGTTTTTTTGGGATGATTCTGACTCCTAAGGATCGGTCCAGTTTGTCCATATAAATTATAGGTTCGCTGATTCAGAGTGGACTTCCGAAAGGTCGGTTTACTTTGCCAATCCGGATTTTGAGACATTGGTTAGAGTGATGCTTCCGCTAAGGCATATCATATCCACTCCTCTGGGTAAAAGACGTACCCGAAAGATCTCAATAATCTGAAATATTAGAATCCACATTAAAATCACCCGATGAAATTGAAATTGTTGGTTTATATTTTATAATTATTTACTATACAACTAAGAACAAATCTAAAATATCTTATAATATCATCTAATTTAAATAATTTATTTACAATTAGAAGGAAAATAATACGTTATATAATTTATAATGTAAATAAATTAATAAATAAAATACAATATTTGGTTATCAATGTATAATTATTAATTATAATATTATAGTAAACATGATTAGAAAATTATTAGAAAATGCTTCCATATCATATGATTAAAAATAAAAATAAAACCCTCAATAAATTCTAATGCTATGATATTAAAAAATTCAAAAAAAAATTATCCAAAAAAATGAAAATAAAGATATCAAAATAAAAAATAAAAACCCTATCGACAACATGCACAATAGTTACAAAAATAAATAAAAATAAAAATAAATGTGGAAATAAAATCTACCGAAAACATTATTTTACTAATAAATAGCAAAAAACTTATATGGAAGTTTTTAATTTGGCACTCTAATTAATTCATTTAATTAAAAAATATGTTGATGAGGCTCATTGAATACGACACGCTAATTTGGAAACATGATATGTTAAGATTTATAAATTAATTGATACGCTCATTAATATTATTAAATTTATTGATATGATCATTAATTCATTTTTATAATATGATTAAAAAATAAAACCCCTTATAATTTTAAATATTATAATACCAAAAAAAAGTCAAAAAATATTATACGCTGAAAATTGGAAAATAAAGATATTAAAATTCAAAAATTAAAAAAATAACATGTTCATTCCCCTAAGTTGCCCTACTCTGTTGTTAAGAAAATAAAAAAATTGAAAAAATAGCATGGAGTAGAAAAACAAGCTAGAAAAAATAAACTATTTTGTAGTGGTTATGGACCATCAAAATGATATTAAAAGCCCTAATGTACCCTAATCTACACCCACCTTATTCCCTCTTCTCTCGCTAAACCCACACCACGTCAGCCCTAATAGGAGCATGTCACATGGTACAGTTGGTATTTTATCTTTCAACTAGATTCATAAAGAAATTTACCAAATGTTACCGCAACTGAGTGGCGATAAGTGAGAGAGGGGTGGGAGATAAATTATTGAATCTTTCACCCGCTGCCAACCAAAGTTCCGCAAGGGCTGCAAGTTAAGTTGAAAAGGCACACGAATTGTCCCACATATAAGGTAAGTAAACTGGCCAAAATCCAAGACATTTATTATATGATTAAAGAAAAATATTTCTATATCCTTTACTTGTGAGTTTCATATCTCCATAAATCCAAGATTTCAAAACATATCTTTTACTTTTAAATTTCATATCTCCATCTGAAAATTTCATGCTTTGTGAAGCTTATTTATCAAAATGCTATAAATTACCACAAACATATGGTTTCACTCTTCTTTTCTTCATCTTGGCAAGAAGATCGAAAGCTTTGGCCAAATTCTGATTCTTACAATGCCCTTCAATAAATGAAGTATAAGCCATGGAATATGGGGTATAACACATCCTCACCATCTCATCCAAGAGCTTATCACCGTCTTTCACCATACTTTTTTTACATACCCCACGAATAAGCATGTTATATGTTATAGCACTGGACTGAACACCCGAGGTCACCATCTTCTCTTTTACACTGAAAGCCTCTTCAATTTCTTCTACTCTCACCAAACGATCAATCAAACTACTGTAAATATAACAGTCAGGTTTTAGTCCATTTTCGAGCATTTCAGTGATAACATGTTTTGCCTCTTGAGTCATTTTCTCTTTGCATAGACTATGTATAAGAGCACCATAAGTGAACCCATCAGCAATCAATCCTTTTTGGACCATTTTCTTCTCCAATTCGAAAGCTTCAGTTAGAAGGGTGTTATACATTAGGGCATTTGGGGGAGGGACAGAGAGAGAGGGGGGCAATAGGGAGAGAGAGGGGGCCATACGGACACAAAGAGAGAGAGCGAGGGCTTGAGGAGTGACGGGGAAAGAGGTAAATATGGAGGGAGAGAGAGCGGGCTTGAGGAGTGAGGGAGGAGAGACGTAAATATGGAGGGAGAGAGAGAGAGAGAGAGAGAGAGAGAGAGACTTGAGGTAAAGGGGGTTTGGGGAGAGTGAAAGAGGGAGAAGTTTGGAGATAAGAGTGAAAATATAGGTTTAGAAATGTTTGTCATTTTATAATTTTTTGGGTTAAAAAATAAGATTAAAGTGGAAAATTTTAGATTAGGGGATTAGAAGATATAAAACTTAAGATATTTGTGGCCAAATATATGTTTTGAAATCTTGGATCTATGGAGATATAAAATTTAAAAATAAAGGATATGGAGATATTTTTTCTATAATTAATTGGTTGTTGACTTTTGGGGGAGGCTCACAGCAATTGCTGCCTATAGAACAATAACAACTTTTATTATAAATTAATTACGAAAAACCGGGTTCTTACATATTTTGATCCGACGATTCCATATCGACGACTTTTTAAAAACTAATCGGCGATTGTTTAAACACTGTAGTATATAGAGTCTCTTTTTAAACACTATTGTTTAAAAACTGTAGTATAGAGAGCCTCTTTTTAAACACTGTAGTATAGAGAGCCTCAAGAAAATTTTGAAATATTTGAACCCTATAATGACTATAAACTGTTTCAACCATTTTTAATATTGTCCCAGAGGAGATGATGCTGGAATGTTCTATACACAAGCTAGACGACAATTCCAAGGAAAAAACAACATAGAGCATAATAAGGAAACAGTCTTGCATTCAATATATTATATAAGGCTACCAAAAAGCCCCATTCTCTGTAAAACCCAACTTCAAGTCTATGTAGCCATGGCCACCACCACAACCGAGCCTGAGATAATCCGCCGGCTTACACCGGTTGAGCCCACGCGTCTGAGCATGGAGCGGACATCGGCACCCCACATAGCAGTCTTCCCTTTCATGTCTCGAGGCCATGCCATCCCACTCCTCCACCTATGTGCCACTCTCCTGCGCCGAGGCCTCGAGCTCACCATCTTCTCCACCCCCTCCAACTCCCCTTTCTACAGACAGAGCCTCCCCAAAGACTCCGGAATTCGCATCATCGACCTCCCTTTCCCATCGCACCCAGACTTGCCGAAAGGTTGCGAAAGCACGGAACAGCTGCCCTCCATGGACATGTTCCTCCCCTTTCTGAATGCGGTTAAAGAGCTCCGCGACTCCTTCGAGCAATCCCTATCAGAAATCGCAGCAGTCAATCCCCCAATCTGCCTCATTTCCGACACCTTCCTCTATTGGACTCAGTATGTCGCCGAGAAGCTATCCATACCCCGCCTAACTTTTATGGGCACGAGCGCCTATGCCACCTGCTTGTCTCTGGCCATTGCTGCTTATGGCTCACCCATACCCAAAGACTCCGAACCGGTTTTGCTGCCTGGCTTGCCTCATGAGGTGAGGCTAGCGCATGTCGAGGTGCCGCCCACTTTCCGATCACTAGATCCCAAAGACCCGTCCTGGACCTTTGTCTTGGAGACTGGTGCGGCAAAGCTCCGTAGCTACGGGGAAATACTTAATTCTTTCTACGAGCTCGAGCCCGAGTTCGTAAAGACATTGAATACACAGGGGCAGCGTTACTGGTGTGTAGGTCCTATGTGCTTGTGGGACGAGCCGAAGCCAGGTAAGGTCAAATCATGAAATCACTAATATGAAATGAATTTTTTATTATTTATATTTAAGGTTATTAATATCACTAAGAAAATAAAAATAACTTCATTGTTTTCTTTGATTGATCTTGTATACAAATGTTTTGGCCTGGCGAAGTTGTTATACTAGCCGGTCTGGCATCTTTTGCAGAGAGAATTCTAACCAGCACGTCTTTTTATGGGCCTGTTTGTATTAGACCATTTAGAATGTTTTCATCTCTCTGCACTTTAGAGTGCTTTCATCTCTCTACACTGCTTGAGATTAATTTTTTTTGTATTTTCTAGGGGGCTGGCAAATATAAGTGAGAAAGATTAAGATTTACTATTAGTTGAAGGATGAGGTTTCTGTAAAGCCTAGGCTTTATGAAAACATAAGTCTCACCTCAAATCCTCGTCTACAAAGAACTTTTGGTAGCAAAAATTTCCGTGAAGGCTCTAAAATCAATTTGCAACATGACAATGAAATTTGAAACTCAAAAAGTAGTATAGATCTTACAGATCTATGAACTCTTATTTTAGACCGAAATGGATGATCTAGATATTTTGTTATAATAATTATGTTTTTCGAGCTTGAAATCTTCTTTTTTTTTTTTTAACAATCATAATATTCAAACGAAGATGATCAATATAAAGGTTTTCTAATACTTGAATTGTAATTTTTAATGATTTATAAAGTAAGGCTTTATTTATTTTGATAAGACTGCAGCCCTACCAAATCATTTTTCCCAGTTAAATTGATCCACAACAAAGTCTCTCTCTTACCGTTTCAACTATAAACCATCCCGATCGAAAATATCCTAAGTAGATTAGAAATCATTGGTGGACGATCCGGTTCTTTGACTGGATCAGTGTTACTAAAATATATTTCTAATTTTTATCAAAATAATAAAAAATAGCCGGTCGTTAGCGTGTTGGAATAATATACAAGGTACACTAAGGGGGGTCTTTTTAAACCAACACTTAAAATAGTTTTTAAAGTCAACCCGTGGGAATAGATCTTTGTCAATACCATTTTACCTTTCGTGTGACAAAATATGTAAAATACGCAAAGTACATAATGAGCCGGTTGTACAGGAGGGTCATAATTAATTTTAACTATCAGACCTAAAATTTGGTTGTTGTATTTACTATATTGACTGAGCTCGAGGTCTAAAAAAAGTGCCCTCAACTTTGTGACACACCTAAAAAAAACTTAGGTCGTTGAATTTATTATATTGGCTGTGCCCTCAACTTTGTGACCCACCTAAAAAAACTTACGTCCTTGCATTTATTATATTGGCTAACTTGAGGTTTAAAAATTTGCCCTCGAACTTTGTGACACACCTAAGCTATTATCATATTCCACATCTTATTGTTATAAATTAGGGTGTGGTTTTTATTGGGTTGCAAGCTACAATCCAATTAAGGTGTACCGCTAAATTTTATCATAATATATAATTTTGGTGCAAACAATTTTTAGGATTATCTGAAAATTTAATTTCACGTCTAATTATAAAATTTTAAAGTCCAAAAATGGTTAAAATCAAGTAGATTTATAAACATATAGAAATCTTGAAAATAAACGGTCTATATAATGTGCTGCAAGGTACATTATTTCTGGGACTCAAAATATTTTTTTTCTTTATATTCTTACATCTTGATGTCGAGATGATCAATTAGAGAGTTTTCAACATTAAAACAGCTTTTTCCAATGCATTTTTTAGGTGTATAATTAATTCTACATTTTAAGGTTGCAACCTTATATATACTTTTTCTTATAAGTAATTGTGGCCTTTTTATATCAAAGGTAAATGATTTTGCTGTATACAAGACCTATAGAATATGCATTAGGATATGGTTTCTAGGAGTCAGCCGACTTGTACTATACATATGTGGCCCTTTTATATATATATATATATATATATATTAAAGTAATGATTCTATAAGACCCTCCCACACCGATTCCAAATGATCACCATTAAATATGACACACATCTCTAAAAAAGTTATCACATGGGTGTGGAATTTGATTTTTCTAGAGATATATGTTATATTTAATGGTGATCCTTTGAGATCCTATACACATGGGTGTGAGAGGGTCTCATAGGATCATATTTTATATATTTTTTTTAAAAAAAAAAAAATTGTATATCATATAAACCTTATGAGTTTTTTACAATGTTCATCTTAAATATAAAGGTTGGTGAGTCCGCGGGCTCCTGTACCCACTTACTCATGGACTTTTCTTATATGTTATATTTGTCTTTTTTGTCTTCTTTTTTTTTAAGAATTTTATTTTTTGCGAGATCCCCAATCCGGCCTTATCTTGCTTATCCATATCGCCAATTCTGCCTACCTAAACCAGGATCGGTGGTGGATGATCTAGTTCATCAATCATGATCATCACTTTCATTATGGCATTTTCCAAATTGATTGGGATCGATCTTGCCCATCAACCCTTTTTTAAAACATTGGTTTCCGGCGGAGATTCCTGAAGAGGTGCATACAAACTAGCCTTTACTATTCCCGCCAAAAAAAAAGAAGACGTCACTTCTGTCTTATCAGGAGCAGACTCTCTAGATTATATTTCTTTCATTGGAGCGTATGCTATGCTCCTGCAAGAGCATATTGTCCATTCATTGAGTGAAATCTAACTTAAAAGAACTTTTTTATTGGAAATTTTAATGTCCACTTATAAATTGCCAAACGATTAGTATCAAAAAAAAGAAATTTGATTTTTTCTTTGATGCTTGCATCTGCTGTCCAAAAATTAAAATTTCTATGTTCAGTTTCAATATATTTTTTTAGGCTTATAGATAGTGTTTCTTATGATTTTTATTTTATTTTTATCTTGAGGGTGGAGATTGAATAGGATATATTCCCAAATTTTAAAGTCCTAAAACTATTTCAGTCTGAAGATTTATCTGCGAGAGTAGATAGATAGTATGCTCCTGCAAGAGTATAAAGTCTTTCTACTGCTTTGCCGCAGGCCCTAACACAAGGGTGCTGGACTCTTCCTCAATGTTCCCTCGGAACTGAAACGAAGTCATATTACTTTACCCAAAAGACATTCTACTCTCGCCGGAGTAGAATATCCATTTACTCTGTCGGGTACCCCACATAGAATTAATTTTAGGACTTCAAATTTTGGGATGTAACCTCTTCAACCTATAGGTTTGCCTCAATAAAAAAAAAAAAATAATTTATTTGTTCCCTCTATGGACATAAAAATAATACTTGAGATTGAATAGAGAGGATTCAATTTTTAGATGGTGACATGTTAGGCAATTCAAATTTCAATTTTCCTTACTGAAAATAATCATTAGTAATTATTAAGTGGTTTCCAAAATTTCAGATCGAAAAAATCTCCCAACTAGGTCTTCTGAGCAAGGTGATAAATGTAAACTATGCTCCAAAGGGAACATAATCTATGTGTTATTTTTTATTCCTAACCTCACTTATTTTTATTTATCATGGGAAATGTTTCTATACTTCCATACAGCATAAAAGATCTATGCTTCTCTTACTATCAAACCATTCAATTTTGATCAAGAGAGCTACTCACTATTTGATCTTAGATCGGATGTCTCAAATTATTTTATTTTTAGTTTTTTTTATACAAATTATATGAATATAAAACATGCAAACGTGGCCTTTGGCTCACAAACATGTATGCTATTTTCAGTTTAACATGCAAACATGTATGCTATTTTCTTCTAATTTCTCTCTTTATTCATTCCCACATCATTATGCAGTGGAGATACCCAAGACGGAACGGGCTGAGTGCTTGGATTGGCTCGACATGAAGGACGAGGGTTCGGTGCTATACGTGGCCTTTGGCTCACAAGCTCGTCTAGAGGAGGCTCAGATGAGAGAGATTGGCGCAGGCCTCGAGGGTTCGGGGTTGAACTTCTTGTGGGTGGTGAGGGGTGAGCCCAAGCTCGATGATGGGTTCGGGGACAGGGTCAAGGGCCGTGGGCTAGTGATCCGAGGGTGGGTTCCACAAGTTGAAGTGCTCAGCCACAATGCTGTTGGTGGGTTTATGAGCCATTGTGGATGGAACTCGCTTCTAGAGAGTTTGGTGTATGGGGTGCCAATATTAGGTTGGCCCATGATGGCTGAGCAAAGTTTGAATGGTAAGATGGTGGAGGAGGAGCTAGGGGTGGGATCAAGGGTGGTGTGGGGTGAAGGGGAAAAGGGGGAGGTTGTAGAGAGAGAAGTTGTAGAGAGAGAGGTGGTGGAGTTGATGAGGGGAGAGAAAGGGAGGAGGGCAAGGGAGAGGGGTACAGAGATAAAAGAGAAGGCAAGGAGGGCGGTTCATGAGGGTGGGTCGTCTTATAACAATTTGAGTTGGCTTATTAATGAGCTTTGTGAAAGGAAGAAATGAGCTTTGTCTTGCCACTCCCGTTAGAAATGTGGCCTATCTGGTTCTTTTCTTTTGAAAATTTATTTTTTTAAATAATGATACACAAGCCATAATGAAGTTTCATGCGGTTAAAAGGAGGCAATGCCATATACTTGGATTCATTTTTTTTAACTTTAATAAGATGTTGTAATAGAGGGAAACACAGTGTCATTGGAGGGAAAACCCAGTGGTATGTTTAGAATTGGATTTCTTGTAAGAATTTGTTTTTATATTATACATATACAAAATTTATTTAATTTATAAATATCTTTCAACAAATTATGAGAATGTTTGGATAACATCATATTATGTGAGTCATTAGTGGATTAATGACAGGTTTAGCTCATTACATAGGATTAAGAGTTTTGTGACAACTTATTAATCCTAATTAGTTACACTTAAGGGAATTAAAGCAGGAGTTAGACTCAGATATCAACTCTTATAAACCATGAATGTGAGGGTTACAAAATAAATGTGTTGTCTATAAAAGGAGGTTAACTTTTCCACAAAAGATAGAAAAAAAATATATAAAAAAATAGAGACGGAAGGTGAATTAGATTCACCAAAGATGACTCTCAAGGTTGTCTGTCACCGCATGGCTTGGTCTATAGGATTTGCTATGGAACTTCAAGTTCTTCATGTGATTTAAGAACATATCCAAGTAAGTTTTTTTTTTTCAATTTTATTTATATTTTTTTATTATTACTTATTTATTATTATTATTATTGGGACTAATGCTTTCATTACTCTCTGTCTCTCTCATGCTTTTCCTTATGTATAGTATCTGCACGGTCCTTGACCCACCCTCTAGGGGCTTGGGCAGGGCCCAGGTTAGTCTTCGCCTTCCCTGTTGCCCCCTTTGCTCTATCCAGTGCCCTTTGCCCTTTGCCCTATCCAGTGCCCTTTGCCCTATCCAGTGCAACTCCTTACATATATAATCGAATTGTATAGAATGAGATCATTTATTTTTAAGGTGCAGCTTGCATACGGATGTAAAACTGCAGGTGAAGAGGTAAGGTGCACCATCAAATTTTATTATGGTATATAATTTTGATGTAAAATATTTTTAGGATTATCTCAAATCTATTTTTATATCTAATTATAAAATTTTAAATTTAAAAAATGGTTAAAATCAAGTAGATCAATAAACATAAGAAAATCTTGAAAATGGACGGTGTAGATAATATGCTTTAAAATGCGTCATTTCTGAAACTTAAAATATTTTTATTTTTCGTAGTCATACATCTCGATGTCGAGATGATCAATCAAAGGGTTCTTCAACATTAAAACTACCTTTTCCAATGGATTTTTGAGGGGCATCCATAGTTCTACATCATAAGGTAGCTTCCGTATATAAACTTTTTCCTTATTTTTATTACACAGTCACATATATAATACAATAATATGTAGGTATATGTCATGACGTCGAAGATACTACTCCAAATCTATGTTTTAAAACTTAGATCGGTGGAGTAGAACATGCACTCACATATTTGTACCTGATCATCGATGATCATGATTATTTTGAATCAGTAAACTAAAAACTATTTAAAAATAAATAAAATAAAATAAAAATAAAAATTTATGAGGTAGGGATTTAGAAAGGACCTAAGAAAACATTAGATAAACTTAAAAAATATATATATATATATATATATATAGGAAAATGCTTCTGTGAACCAATGGGCTTACAGGAAAAAATGAGCCCAATGGCCCAGATTGAATCTGGGCTGATCTAACGATCATGGATGCCCTATAGTGTTTGAATTTTAATTTTTTTTCTACAAATCCAAATTACTTGAAATTTTAGACTCGTGTTGATAAAAAATAGGTGAATATTCAAAAAATATTTTATAAAAAAAATGACCAAAATACCCCCTTAAATTTTCAGAGGTATTTTGGTCATTTTTAATTTTGCGGATTATTTTTTTTATATTTTTATTAGGTGCGGCTAGATGAGAAGGACATCCACCCATAATTTTAAGTGACTTGGATTTTTAGAAAAAAGAACTAAAATTGAAATACTATCGGCCGCCAGATCGGCCTCAGATTCATTCTGGGCCATTGGGCTTATACTATTCTGTGAGCTAGTGGGCTCACCCTAGCATCTTGCATATATATATAAGGAAAAAGCTGAGATTAGCTCACTAGCTCATATGAACATATGAGCCCAACGACCCAGATTCTCTAAGCCGATCTGACGATCACGGATATCCGGTAGTGTTTGAATTTTAATTTTTTTTTTTTACAAATCCAAATCAATTGAAATTTTAGGAGTGTGTTCATTAAAAATAGTTTAATATTGAAAAATATCAAAAATAATATTTTACATGAAACAAATTGATCAAAATACCCCCAAAAAGATTAGGTGGTATTTTGTTCATTTTATTTTTCATGAATAATTTTTTTATATATATTTTTATTAGGTGCGACTTGATGAGAAAAATGAACATCTAAAATTTCAAGTTATTTGGATTTGTAGAAAAAAAAAAATTAAAATCCAAACAAGAAATGAGGTCGTGATCGATAGATCGACCAGATTCAATCTGAGCCGTTGGGCTCATATGTTCATATGAATTAGCTCATATGAACATATGAGCCCAACGGCCCAGATTGAATCTGGGCCGATCTGACGGTCGCGACCTCATTTCGTGTTTGAATTTTAATTGTTTTTTCTACTAATCCAAATAACTTGAAATTTTAGACGTTTATTCTTCTCATCAAGGCGCACCTAATAAAATATTTGAAAATAATTTGCAAAAAATAAATTGATCAAAATACCGCCAAAACTTTTCAGGGGTATTTTGATCAATTTATTTCTTGTAAATTATTTTCTTCATATTTTTATTAGATTATAATATTTTTGAAGAACACACGCCTAAAGCTTCAAGTTATTTAGATTTGTAGAAAAATAAATTAAAATTCAAATATGAAATGAAGTCGTAACCGTCAGATCGGCCGAGATTCATTCTTGGCCATTGGGCTCATATACACTCATATGTCCATATGAGCTAGTGGGCTAATCTTAGCATTTTCCATGTATATGGTTTGTATAGAGCCTAGGCTCTAAACAATCAAATTAGAGCCTACCTTCAAATGGTATCAAGAAATGTGGTTTCAATATTGGAAATCTTTGTGAAAGCCTTAAAATAAATTTTTATATTTATTTATAAAGTTTAAAGCTTCAAAAATAGTGTAGATTGACAGTTCTTTGAAAACTTGAAAATCTTGAAAATTGACGGTCCAAAAATACGCTACAAAATACAGTATTTCCAAAACTTGAAATCCATTTTTTTCTTATATCCATGCTTCTTGATGTCGAGATGATCAATTTGAAGATATTTGAACATCAAAAGAACATCTTTTAGTGAAATTTCTAATATAGGCTCAAATTTTATTGTTTAGAGCCTCGGTTCTATATAAACTTTTCCTCTATATATATATATATATATATATATATATGATTTTACTGGAGAATTGGCTTGGGACTTATATATACATGCGATTTTACAGGGGAAGCGTAATGTGACTTTTACCATTCTTGAATCAACAATTATGACAAAAAATCTTCGGGTTTTAATACACTAGATACCAAACCCATATCCAGAGCGATGCACATGACCGATGAGTTGAATCGCAAATTTTATTTGATTATTATATTATAAATTGAAATAAAATAATTGAAGCAATAAAAATAAAACATTAATCAAATGTCATATTCCTCCTTTTAGGTGCGGTTTGTATAGAGCCGAGGCTCTAAACAATCAAAGTAAAGCTCACCTTTAAATAATGTCGAAAAATGTGGTTTCAATACTGAAATTATTTTTGTGATAGCCTTAAAAAATATTTTCATTTTTAATTATAAAATTTAAAGAATCAAAAGTAGTGTAGATCGAGCAGATCCATGAAAATCTTGAAAATTGACGGTCTAATAATGCTTTACAAAATCCACTATTTTCAAAACATGGAATCCATTTTTTTCTCACGTCAAGATGATTGATTTGAGGATATTTGGGCACCAAAACCACCTCTTCTAGTGATATTTCTGAGGTGGGCTCTAATTGCTTTGCAGCTTTAAGGAAAAGACACCAAAAAACTCGTTTTTATGGGTCAAAATAAGGATAGCGATAAGAAGAAAACAAAACTGAAAAATCTCATTTTCATGCGTCACAAAAAGGGGCAGCGAGGCCAAAATAATAATAAATAAAAAAACTTGTTTTCATGCGTCAAAATAAGGACAGAATATTAGGGCCGGCAACAGGCCGTCAAAATAAGGACAAAATATTAGGGTGGGCAATATGCCCGGCTTGCCTTAGCTAGGACCCAGCTTTAGTACTTACATGGCTGGTCCGAGCCTGCTCCGTTGTGGACTGGGCCGAAAGGTCCCATACCAGCACGGCCTTGGCACTGTCCATGTTCAAGCCGGCTGGGCCACACACAATTCAAGAAAGTAAGAGATTATGGCCCTACCCTGGCTTAAGGTCTGGCCCTCAAGCTGCAGTGTTCTGGCCCGGGCCACATCTCATAGCCCAAACCTTACTTTTTAGGTTCGGACTAGGCTGCCATCACATTGCCAAGCCTACTTTTGATGCCATACTTTTGAACCATGTTGTCGACTTCACTTCGCTTCAAGCAAAACACCCGACAAAGTGGACAAATAAGCAAAATATGTAAACTTATGAATGCCATGCATAGAGATGAGAAGTAAAAAAAGGAAATACGACCTTACCAACTTTCACACATATAGAGATATGAAGAAATAATAAGTACCTCAAAAGGTAAAAGAATATTGATACTTTTAAAAGGGCCCGATTTCTTTGCGGCCAAACCTGCATATGTAGAAATGCAGGCCTATTAATAAATCTATCTTTGAGGTGAATTTTAAGACTTAATTTTTAAAGATATGTAATCTCTAACATGGAGATCATGAATATGAATGAGTAAATAAACTGTAAAAATTAGAAATAATAATTCTAGTAAAATAACATTTGGACCGTTAGTTTTCATTGTTTTTAAATGAAATACCTACTTGCATCCATCTTTAAGATGGACGCTTTACACTTTCTGGACCAGCCCGCATGAAACAATTTTCCTTTTAAAAATTTGAATGAATTGATAATGTATTTTCATCATGATGCTCCTAACTCTAAGTGTATTAAAAAATAA